CTGAATTTCATATGGCTGTAATATCAGTGCAATTAACCTGATATTGTCGATTGCAGTAAGAATCTGGTTTGGATAGATTTTTTTCTTTGGCAGTTTGAACTTGCACAAGACTTAAATAAGGACAAAACTCATATATTAAAAAAAAAGAAAACATCCATCATGCTTACCGTGAAAGGGCCCAGGTATGCTACGAAGCCAGCTGAAACTAGTACATCCCCAGCAATGTTGTTGATCATGTAATCTAGGTTCTGGACTGTTTCTTGCCAACGTACCCTTTCATCAGCCAGGCCATTGATTAACTGGAGAAAAGACACAGATAAATTGCCATTCAGTGTCAGCTATTCAAAGAGGCCTACTCCAACCACAAAACCCCAACAAAATGCCAAAGGATAAAACTAACTGGGGCCTCCTTTTAAAAACCACTGAGATATGGGAATTGAAAGAGCTGCTCTAACTCCAGTTTTTGACTAAAGTCGCAAGATTACTATAAATAAGGTTTGGAGAAACTTTTCTGACAGACAATAAACTTCATCATCTCTCAAGCATACAATGGGATGTTCAGCAAATAAACAACTCTCTGTGGCTTATTTACAGAGTGGCTTAGCATGATGTGGGAATGTTCCCATTTGAAATTTCCACAACAATCATATAATTGTGGCTAACATCCAACTGCAAATTAGCTTTCTGACTTTGTAGGGGGTCTAAACAGAAGGAAATATCTGGTTTTGACATTGCAACTGGATTTTACTAATATGGTTTCCACTAGCTCATGCAGGTCCAGAAGTCAAGATGCTATTTGTGAGTAGATAAATGCTAAATCACTGAAATGAAGTAAACTTTACAATTTGATTCTACTCTTACCTTGTCAGCCCGACTCAGTCTCTGCTCACATTGGTCACACTTCATCTCCAGTTCCTCTTTTGTGGCTAAGGTGCCTTTGTATTTGGCCTGAAGATGCGCAATGCCCTCCTCCACTTCTCGTAGACGTTCCTTGGCTTCATCAAGGATCCTCTGTGTGGCCTGCAAGTCTTCCTCAGCCTCCCTTAGGGCTTGCTGTGGAAACAGAAATCTTTGTGAACATTACATTCTGCTAATTGCTAGTAAAGAAACTGCTGCTCCTTCTCCTAAACTTGTATTAGGAGAATATTAAAAGTTTCTTTTCATGTTTAGGTGAATACTACATAATGCTGAAGAAGCATGGTTGCAGTTCTTACTCGCTTTGGCTCCACTGCTTTTGCCACGAAGTGGTACTTATGCATGGCTCTGACCCACTGGCAGATAGATGTGCAGGCTTTGGACACTTTGGCAATGGCTGCTGGCTGAAATTCATCGCTGTCGATATACGGCTGGATTAATTTAATCACAGCATCTGCAATATTGTCCTGAAATTAGTTAAAGAAGAGGTTGAGAATGCTGAGAAGATGAAGGTTTCAGAGCACAGGGCAGTCAGGTGTGAGATCCCGTAGCAAAAAAGTATGTGTGGAACAGCAATGAACTTGCAACCAATGATGCAGTAGATGAATTACAGTCAATTGCTTTGTACTTACCCTCCTCTGTTTTCCACCTATGCTGTGCTTGATGGCAAGTTTAGGATTAGCACAGCCTGCTCATTCTTTCATGATAGCTTTATGGCCATGACGCAATGAATTTGGCAAATGAGCAATGAAGACTCTACTATTTGTGAATCATTTATTCTATGCCACACTAAGCACAAAATGAATGCCACTTCAGGAATCACCTCTCCCAGAAGAGGGAAAAGGCTGTGACTCGGTTTCACTTGCCAGTTGAGTACAAGAACCAGAAACTAAGTAGTTTTAATAGTGATCAGTGCCCAATTATTGTCAAAGGGATTGTAAGACATCCCCACCATCACCTTCTTCAGTGAGGCATGGACCACTTGCAGTTCCTTCATAACAAGCCTGTGACTGGGGATATGCCAGCCACTCAGGGCTTAAGGTGGATTGGCTTAGAAAAAAGCCAAACCATTTATCCAAACATTGGGAAATACTAAACTGTTGAACGCAGTTTCTGAGCCTCCATGTCCCCATGGCTAATTTTGACAGATCCATGTGACCACGAAAAGTCTTGGTGAGGCTTCTACCTCTGGGAAAATTCTACTTCTACAGTGGAGAATCAGGGTGTGTTTGAAGTCTCTGAGATCCCAGACATTCAGTGTTTCCAGTGGGGCTTCTGTTTCCTGAAATCTACCATGCAAATTGTTCATCTGGCCAGCTGGCAATCATACATCGCATACCAGCTATCCCGGTGTTAAAGGTTTTTTTTTTAACTAGTCCCTATTCCTGTGCCTTTAATAGGAGCACCACTTGCAGACATTACCAGGCAAGCTCTGCAGGGAGAGCTGCTGTTGATCTGCCATGCTATCCCTATGTTATGAAATGCATCATCTGCTGTTTTCTGTGCTCATGCTCCTGCTAGTAATTGTATATGACATATTTCTTCTTTCAAATGCAATAGAAGCAGCTAGATGGAAAATATACATGGTCTTGTGCATATATGTGCATGACAGAGAAGAGAACCCCAACTGTAGTACTTACCTTATCATATTTAAATAAGCTTTCAAGAAATCTCCCTGGGTCCTGAAGAAGGCCTTTGCCAGGCTCCCAGTAGTCATCTATCTTAGAGCCCGGCTTCTCTCCTGCCACTTTCTTGGGCTTGATTCCCTTCATAATGCACACAGCTTCAATCACCATCTTCACTCCAAGTGGAGGACGTTGCATGGCTCTTACCTAATTGAAAACATGAGCAAAAGGCAGACCCATTGCAAGCAATGGGCTTAAGTTAACTCATGGCTTACCTGTGCTATTAATTTCAATAGGTCTGTTCTGTACAGAACTAAGTATTGGTTCATCCCAAGATCCAATAAACATGTAACCTGATCTTTAATACAAGACAGAGCTATGGCACCTTTCAGAGATGCATAACCCCCCTGCATGAAAATTTGCCCAAATTCTCTGTTCTACACAGCCACCACTCTTAGGATACAGGAGTGCAGTCCCTCCTGCCTATAGCTCAGAACTGAATCCACTAAAGCTTTGTGTCATCCTTCCATGCTAACAGACTCCATGTCATTCCACTTCGAGTATATGTGCTGACCAAGGAGTCCAACATGCGTGTGAGTTGGAAGGTGCAATGAAGGTGAGGGCCAGCACATGCCAGCTGCCCACCTGACCCATCTTGAAACATGGACCAAAGCTATGTAAATGGGGTGCCTGTCTATGGTAAATATGTCTCTAATGCTTGATCTTTCATAGAGGTCTCATATTTGCAAGGTAATGTTGGAATCACACTGAAAAATAAAGAACATTTATGTTTGACCCAGCACTTATTTAGATCACTATTGTACTATTTTTAGATATATTGCTCCATTCCATATATGCTTCCTTGGAAGCTTACTATGTTAAGTGAGATTTATTTGCAATTCAAATATATATGCATGATTGCAGCTTTATCTGGATAAAACTATCTGATATAAAAGCAGATGTATCTCACTGTTTGTCAATCATAGGTATACGTGATATACCTGATAAAGAAACAAAAAAAAATGTTTGAAAAGTAATGGGATGGACTTTCTACTAAGTTGAATTAGAACTGCAATGCTGGGAAAATAATGAATATACTAGAGCTCATCAGCCTTTATGTATCACTGCCCATGAGATAAAATTGCATACAAAAGATGGGGAGTGATACCTTGATGTAGAAGGCAATTGCTAGCCACATAGGAGAATATAATGTACTTAGGTAGTTGGGAAGAGCGGAATTAGGGTGGCCAGATGTGAAAGTGCTCCTGCACCTTTAACAATTGAATAGAAGAAGGAATGTCAGCAGAGGTAGCTTGCAATGCTGCATTTCAGCAGGTGCAGAGGCTGAAAATCCATCTTTTACACAGCACAACTATTAATAGTGTAAAAGAGCTGTTCTTATTGCATCTGGCCATTCTAGGTGGAAGTGAAAGTGAGAATGAGAATGAGAATAAATCAGGCTTCAGTCTTGATACAGAAATTCAGAAATGGATGGAAAGTAGGTTAACAGTTTTTCAGTTGGTCTTTGTGGCTTTAACATGGCTGCTTGAACTTGAGAAAATCAGCAGCTGATAATGTTTTTATTCATGCTGCAAAATCCCTACTGATTTTTGCAGATCAGGCCCATTAGCACTATAGTCCACAGCCCAGGCTGAAGGTCTGTTCTTATCAACTCCCTGCCCCAGTAGAAGCATATTCTGTAGACAAGAAACAGGTGATCCTCTTACGGTATTTCTATCAGATGCAAGGCTAGTGATTTGCTATTTCATACTAAGTTTCTGAGACTGATGGATTCTTTTTTGAGAGAGAAAGTAATCCTCTAACCCTCATGGTTGTAGAGGTAAGTTTCAGAGTAGAATGATAAAGTATATGTGTGCATAACAAACAAAGAGTATAAAAGACCTACTTGTATTTCTTGATATACACTATTGTGGGTTGGGAATGTAAACTAGCTCATGTAGCTCATAGGGCTGTTTTAAAGTGACCTTTGTAGGTGAAGAAATTGTCCTATATTGGCTACAGAACAAGTGTTTAGATGAAGTGGAGGCATGTGCATGGAAAGTGTTATAAATAACTGGACATGCTTGTTTTTTAGCAAAGTATCTTAAGTTGTGATCATAATAAACTGTGCAGAGAAACTATATTTACACAGTGTACCTTGTATTGTGCTTCTAAGAGAACACATGCTATTTTCTATAAATCTGGGCAAGCGCTGGGGTGAATAGAAGAAAGGGAAAGCATGATGGCTGCAGACCAGTGATCAGGGAATAACATCTGTGGGAAAGAACAAAGGTCTGTGCAGAACTTTGAATGCTACCCTGGGAAACCTTGCTCAATTGTCCTTTAGATTCTAAGATTTATGGCAGCAATATTCTACTAGATAGCCAGAGTGCACACACCTCTGTCTTATAATAAACATGTTTTGTCTGCTTTGCTTAGGATTACATGAACAGCAAGAGCATGTTCAGTCGCAGGCATTCTAGGGCTTTTCTGCTGGATACAGTTGACAGAGGAACTGAGTTTGTGGAGGCTCTGAAAGCTGTCTACCCCAAGGCAGAGAGTCTGCATGAGAAGGACTTTGACTGGCTCTTTGACTGTCCTCAGGCAGAACAATTCCTTGCGTGGTTCTGCAACACAGTGGGGGAGGAAAACGTATTGAGCCCCACAGAATTGGAGACCTATGAGAAACTGATAATTTCTGAAAAGCCTATTCTGGAGGGCGAAGCACTGGAGGAGGTGCTGAAGACATGTCACCAAGCCTCCCAGCTAACAGGTTCTCTGCAGGAGAATGAAGCCTTGCCCCTTGAGATGCTTGAGCAGCAGGTGCTGATACTGAAGAGCCAAACTGCCTGTCAGATAAAGCGGTGCAACAAGCTTCAGATTCGTGCAGCTGGCTTGAAACAGGCGCTTTGCCATTCCACAGAGAAAAATGAGAAGGCAAGCAGGGAGCTGAAGAAAGTACAGCTAAAGCTGGAAGTAGAGAATTTTCAAAGCAATGAGGTTCTTAACCAGGTCTGTAAAATGGCGCAGGAGTTGCTGCAGTGGCATCAGGACCCTGGATATGAGCGACGGAGAGTCTCAATGGCTACAGCAGACCTAGAACATTGCCTGGAGTCTGAAGACAAAGTCACAAAGGCGTTTTTGGGGTTCTTTCCAAAAGTCAAACCAGTTGTAATCAGTGATATGGAGGCTGATAAAGTGGTTCTAACAAAAAACTGGCAGGGAAGCTCCTGGGAAGAGCTGAATGTGGAGACCATAATAAGACTAGCTCACAAAGTGCTGTTAGAACACAAGGAAATAGTATGTGATGAAGATTCTGAAGTTCAGAAGAGAGCCACAGAACTGCTGCAGAGCCCTGTTCTCTATGAAGGTCAGCTGGCCAGCAGGAATGAGCCTGAGCTTACTTGGATGGCCCTGCCAAGAGAAATGGACCAACCAAACCCAGAGAATTTCAGACGTGAGGACAGTTATCAAGAAGGGGCAAAGACAGATGCAGAGGCTGGCCAAATGGAACATACTGAGGATGTCTGTCTGCAGAGCAATCAAGAACTTGGGCGCATGGAGTTAGCTTACCTGTGCAGTCAGACAACAGTAGTCCTGACCTCTGCAAAAATTAAGGGAACTTCATCTACTATGCAATGGGCAGGGAAAGCTCTGGCAGCTATTGAGAAGAACAAGGTAGGCTATAAGCCTTCAGTAAATGGCAGTATACTCTAGTGGTCTCCCTAAGGCAGAGATGTCATTTGTTGCTATAGGAATGATAAAGAACTAGACTGGCACTTAAGTAGAGAGAAAACAGCCAGTCCTTCCTTAGCAATTGTCTTCCTTAGCAATTGATACGAAGAGAGGATCAGCCTTATCAGTCTCTCTTATCTGTACTGAATGTTAGGAAGCTCAGTAATGAGCTTTCTTCTTGTCTCAGAAACCCCTACTTGATTCTGCAAGTTGTGGCTGAATTCTACCCTTCCTCAGATCCCTCCCTCAACTGCCAATCTTTGAAGCTTACAGTGTCCTTGAAAGTAGAAGGTCTCTCTGAAAGTGCCAAATGGTAATGCTGGGATGAAAAGTGACAGGCTTTGTGGAGGTAAAATGGGCAGTCATGGTAGTGAAAGAAAAAAGCTAGACAGTTCCTCTCTCACTGTGCTGGTTTGTTTTTTGTATTTGTGTATCACACACACACACACACACACACAGCGAGCGAGCACAAGCAAAAAGCCTTGTAGCACCTTAAAGACTAACCAATTATGGCAGAATAAATTGGCTTGCTTTTAATTTTAATTTGCTAGTCTTTAAGATGTCAAAAACCCCCTTGTTTTTGCTGTAAGAGATCACCATGGATACCCTCTGTGAAACATAAATATCATATACTCAGTCTTTTAGCAAATGAGTGCAATCCTTTACTGGGAGCAAGAGAGGAGGAAAAACTTCAGGAAGGCTAAGTTAGTGGGGAGAAATGAGAAGAAAAAAGTAAAAAAATGTCCTTGAGTCTGGAGTATGTACGAGGCTTGCATATGTAATATGTTCTCATCTTAGTTCCTAGTTCTCCTCTAATTCCTAGAATGGAAGCAACAACAGTAAACCCTTTGTGATGCTTATATTTGAGAAGCAGTATATACAAATATATACATTATTTGAATATATGATGTGTCTTACGTGTTAGCTTATGCTGCTGATATATAAAACAATTATATAAAAATAACAATACATAAAATAATGTTAATGCTTTTGTTCTGAGTAAATTTTAACCTCCCACTTTGTGGTCTGACTGCTTGAATTCCTCTCTGTTCTCTGCATTGTACCTAATTCCGTCTTTACTGCAAAACTGTGCCTGTTTTAGGGTTCAGAAATGGCCATGTATAGAAACTCTCCTGCTGTCACTTTCACTAGTATTTGTTAGATATCCCTGCCTGCACTCCTCATTCTGTGATATTTTTACAGACTTGTAGACTCTTCCCCCACCCCCCATATTATACATTTCCATAGTCATCAGCAAAACTGAAATAATTACAAAGCCAACATCTTCTCCTATATAACTCTGAAATACTTCTAACAACTGCAGGGGGACATGGAATTAATGACCTCTTCTTCTGCAGGTGGAAGAAGGGAAGAATGAACTGTGTTTTCATATAGTATCTTGCCAAAAGCAGCTGTGCATCCTCCAAAGTGAGGTTGATGAGGCCAAGACCCAAAAGCTGCTGCCATTGCTTCAGGGCAGTGCACGCCTCCTTCGCTTGCCTATAATAAGTAGGGAACTTGACTGGGAGCTCCTCAGACTTGGAAATCTTGAACTGATGCAAGAAGAAGCTGCTGGCCAGATGTTGGACCAGCTCAGTCATTTAGAGCTGCTGAGTCTTTTGATGATGATGAAGAAGAAGGATCTGCAACAGATAGGAACCAAGCTGGAAGAGATGGCAATTCTCCTGAATAAATCACAGTCTCAATTAAAAGAATGGCAATTCGGCTTTGAAGATTCAAGATACTCTATCAGGCAATGCCCAAGGACTCTGATAGACCCCAGTGATCTCACTACTTTACGGTAAAGATTAGAGGAGGATGGTAATTATTTATTTACAATTGAATTTATAATCTGCATTAATCAATAGTCCAGGAGGATTCTCTGGGCAGATGGAGGGGTGTTGAATACTTAACAGGTTTCTAAGGGTCATTAGAGACAAGGAAATGCTTCCTTAGCTTAGAGTGAAACTGTCCACCCATCACCTATAGATATGTTTAAAAACATTGTATTTGTAGTCTCTCTTTCTCAGTGTTCTAAGGATAGAAACTCTCAAGGTTGTCTTTCTGAAATCTTTTAATTGTTAAGATGTGCTTTCCTCTTTTCAGTCTGTGGAAGATGCTGGACAAGAACAGTCAAGAGAAGCAGCTCTTTCATTCCTATGAGACCTTGGCAGGCCGGGGGTCACGGCTGTGCCAGGAACTCAGGATGCTCCAGGTGCAGCTAAGTACACCATACTCTCAGTTCTCTACACTGGAGACTGAAAACAAGGTACTGCACTGTATGATGTATGGTGACTCCAACCAGTTAATGCTTCATGCTCAGGTAAGCAAAGGTCTCCTACACTCATCTGTTAATCTGCTATTGTTTCTTAGGCTTTTGAAAGGCTTTTGGCAAAGCCCAAGGAGTCATCAAAGAGTCAAGCTAAGGACACTCAGCAGTCATGAGATAAGAAGAGGTCTTTTTATAGTTTGTTAGCTAGCTAAAGAACAGAAAGTAAAGAGTGGGAATAAATATGGAAAAACATAAAGAGAGGGTTCCACCAAGGAACTCTATCAGGACCAGTGCTTTTAGCTTATCCATAAAGGATCTGAAGTCAGAGGCAATGACATCAAATTATTTAGGATGGTTAAGATGGAAAGGGACTGAGAAAGGTTTAGAAGAAACAGTCAAAATGGAAGAACGGGATTGAAGTGACAAATATGGTTCAATGTAAATAAATGTAAAATCATGTGGAATGGGCCAAAACAATTCTAGCAAATGTATATGGTGAGGAATCTGCACTGACAGTGACTGACTAAAGAAACCTTAGGATTGTGGGGTGGATAGTTCCATTAAAATGTCAACCTGGTCGGTGGGGGCTGCTATGAAAAGTGATTCCATGTTGGCCATAATACAGAAAGATCTGAAAACAAAGTTGCCAACATCTAATGCTTTATATAAATCTGTGATGCAACCACACTTGGAATGCAATGTTAGCTTCTGGTTACTGCACCTCAAAAAGAGTATAATGGAGTTAGAAAAGCTGTGGAAAAGTGTAAACAAAATTATCAAGGAGTTGGAGCAACTCTCCTGAGAAGAAAGATTCTGATATCTGGAGCTATTTAGGTGTTTTAAAAAGCAAAGGGAAATGTGACAGAGGTGTACAAAACTGCATGGTGTGGAGAAGTGTAGGGACACATAAGAGGAAGTACTTCTTCACAAAGCATACTATTAAACTGTGGCATTCACTAACATGTCACAAGCAGCCATTAACATAATGCAGGATTAAAAGGGGATTAGAGGGCAATTCAACTTAATTCAAGGAGGACGCGTGGCTACATATTTTCTCCAAGACCAGGGGCACTAGGCTTCTGTATGTTAGTCACGGAGGAACATGAATGGGAAGGTGCTACTGCATTCATGTTCTCCTGGTGGGCTTCTCATGGACATCTGGCTGACCACCATCTGTATAGAAAGCTGGACTAGCTAGACCTTTGTTTCATCCAGTGCCGGTCTTAAGTTTCAATCTTCTTCCACTATTTTGACTCTCTGTGGGTGCTTATCCATGTACTGTCAAAAAGAAAGCAGCAACCATGGCACACATAAAGCACTTTTTAAACTGCATCATTAGGTTTTGCATCCTTGGAATTTCTGATCATCTGTTACTAAGCAATCCTTCCTCTGAGTTTTCCGAACAATGAATCAAAGGAGAAGTACTTCAGTTTCTTATCCTATTTTCAGTATAGTTTGTTTTAACAAGTGTTCCTTATAGGAAATGTCAGAGGCTCTAGAACAACTTGGTGCCACACAAGCCAAACTCTACCAAATGCTAATGGACACCTTGAGTGACTTAAAGTCCAAACGCAAATCCCTGCAAAGCCACTTTTGGCAGACTGAGCGCAATCTCTACATGTATTTCTTCAGCTATCCGGACCACCTGAAGGAGCTGGTACAAAAGGTTGAGAAGCAAACACTGGTATCTTCGTTCATGTAGACATAGTCATCAGAATAAAAGCAGGAGGAGTTAAGTAGAAAATGAGTCTGCTGGTTTGCTTCAAGGCACTTTAATGTCATCTTCCTCTTGACTGAATGGGAGGCATCCTTTCTGTTAACAGTGTTTGCTTCCATCTAAGATCATGTCTTCTCTCTAGAACAGTCTGAATTCTCCTAGGCTCTAAGCACCTATGGGGGCACCTCTCTGATAATCTGACAGCACTAAGAGCTGGTTTGGCAGACTTCATTAGTTGCCATAAAGCCAAGGTTGCTGTATACAGTTCCTTTTCTGGGTAAAACATACTCAAACCAAACCACAGTGTTTGGCCCATGTGGTTGATGTACTTGCTGGGTGGGTAGATTAAAATCTAGAGTTCATATTTTTCAGAAGGGATGCAGCCTATCTGTTCTCTACCTTTCCCGCCTCCTTATTTTCCCCCCCATTTTAACTGTCCTTACTACTGCAGAATCTCTGATGAAAGAAGAAAATGAGTGTTAAATCTAGTGTGCTCTGGTGGCAGAAAGGATAAAATTCTTTTTCTCTTTATATTTTAAATAGCTCAGTGCTCTAAAACATCAGGCATGTTGATTGTTCATAATGTAAATGACACGGAAATCCAGTAATAAAAAGGTAATGTAAAATGTAATAATAAAAATAAAAATCAGCAGCAGCTTGAACAAAGTGTGTATATTGACAAGCCTACAACTGTGCTGTTACATTTTCTCATTCTTTTCTTAGGGAAGAGTTTACTGTGACACCTTCTCCCTTGTCTTTCAATTCCAATATGACAGCTGAGGTTATATAGTAACTTTTATCATAATACTACCTTCTTAGACACGGCATGAATTTTAAAATAGAGGTGACTAAATCTATGAAGCATATAGATTGATATGCTTGCCTTCAGATGGAAAGAGGCCCAAGCAAACACTAAAATGTCAGCAAGTCAGAGGTCAAAGGGGAAAATGCACATGTCAGGGCTACCTGAGATGGATGCTATGAATAGGTGCTTCTTCACTAATGCTAACTGCTGTCAAGCCAAGATGGTAGGGTTGCAGTAATGTCTTTAATGGCAAACATATGGCAGGTGTAATAGAAATTCTCTGGTATGGAGAAAACCAATGGGCTATAGCCGTCTATGGATTCAACTTCTACTGTACAGTCAAGGATGTGAGATGGAGGAGTTACTATTACTCTGTGTATGAGAGAAGGCACAGTGCCGAATTAGAAACTTTAAGGGGCAGAAACCTCCATGAAACTGATGCGGGTAAGGATGGCAGGCCCGCAACTCAATTTACTCTGGGGACCATGCCATCCTCTTCCTTATCAGAATGCTTAGGAGTGATTGTGAGATGGAGAATGAGATCAGAGAGGCATTCAAAGGAATTAGTCATGGATAGCTACAATTATGCCCTCATAGACAGGATCAATGCACATTCCAGTCACAACGCAGTACTACAATGCAGTACACTTCAATAATCAAACCAGTGCCTTAGAATAGTCAGTCACAGAACTGGCCAGTGGGAAAGTGGCCCTGGATATAACCGCAACCCCAGGGCATAGCATGAAATGTGGTTATTGTCAAACCAATTGGAAATAGGGACTATAGGACTTTAATTTATATATATGTGGGAAATTGCCTTCATGGTACAACCCAGTAACACTTGACAGCAATAGAGGAAACTTCTCTAAAATAAGGAAATTGGTTGAAAGAAAGTTCTAAGGGAATGTCAAGAGGGCAAATCTCAAGAATGTTTGGAGATTACTTGAAGCCACAAGGTGGTTGGCTAAAATATGCACCAGGGGAAGGTAACCCAAAGTGCGAGAACTCACCAGTATGTTTCTCAAGCAGTACTGGGAAGCTCTTAGAGGAAAGAAAATGGAGCTTTTCCCAGATAAGAACAAACAGAAATGCAAACTTGTTCAAAGGAGATGCAAGCAAACAAGGGATGCAAATGAAGAATTTTGAAGAGCATATTCCTAATATCAAAACCAATAATAAACTACTTCAAATATATTTGAAGCAAAAAAAAATGAGCATGAAGGTCATTGGGTGACAACACTGTTAAAAGGAGTTTGTGGAGAATGTGAATAAATTCTTTTCATCTGCTGAAGATGTAGGGCAGACATCTATGCCTGAGCTCATTTTTTCGGGAAGGCAGTTTGAGGAAGTGAGACTAATGGTGGTAAAAAGAGATGAATTTTTCAACCTTACTGACAAACAGAAAACAAATCATTGAGTCCAGATGGTATCTATTCAAGAATTCTTAAAAGAATGCAGATGTGTAATTGCTGAACTTCTTGGAAAAAATAGCATATCCCTAAGATCAATTTCTGTACTGGAGGCACAGAATTGGTGTGCCAATGTAATACCAATTTTTAAAAGGGTTCTAGAACATCTAGGAAATCAGGGTTCTGGGAAAGTTTTTGTTGAGCTAAGTTCCCCAAGATCAGCTTGTGCTTTTCAATCCATGTAATTCTCAATGCATGTGCCAAGGTGTTGCTACCCTCTTTCATCTTGCCTGAAGGTGGATGGCTTTGGGTGGGAATTGTCTTGTTCAGTATAGATATTACCTCTGCCCATGTTGAATGGTCCCTTAATGGAATACCAGTCATGCAGGAATGTGTGCAAGCTTTTACCTGGGTTTTAACAGGAAAACATTCCATGCCAGCTGGGAAATAGGAATGTTTGTGCTGTCTTGCACATGTCCTTGTTGGTCCTGAGCGAACCACAGAGAATGGTGCAGGAGGAATAATGGCCTCAACATGCTTCTGCTATAAGCTATCCTTTCCCCACTCTAGTACCTCAGTAACATCATTTTTGTTGAGGTTCCTCAAGCTTGCAAGGGCAGCATCCAGGGCAGGGAGGGCTTCTGCCAGGTCCTTCTGCGCATCATCAGCAATTGCCTGGGCAGTCTGTGCTTTCACTTTTGCTTTCATTTCCTCTGCCTGAACAGCATTTCTGGTCTCTTCTGCTACAGCCGTGTCTACCTGCAAAGCCACAAAATTGTTTAGAATCACGAGAGTACTTTCAGAAGGTCTGGCCAAATCATTTTCTGTATTGTAGAAGACTTTGTCTTATGGGACTGTCATTTTATGAAATAATGGGGGCATTCAGATGACACTTTAAGCCTAGGGTGGTTATATGACCAATGACTGACTAATGATCAGGCATGGGGGGCTTCAGGGACTGTCACCCTCCTCAGTCCTCCCACCGATATCCCAGGGAAGCACTGTGGGGAGTGGGGATGACAACTGCCAAAAGAAGGTACTAGTAGCTATCATCTACTTCCCCTCTCATTGCTCCCCGCTCATTTTCCTGGCATCAGGTAGAGTAGAAGGGCATGAACTGCTTGTGACATTACATGGCCCTTCTTTTCCCTCAGGCATGGTAGGCCTGAGCTGAGCCATGCGGCAGCTGAGCTATGGAGAGGAGGACACAAAAGCAGGAGGATAGCGGGGGACATTGTTGTAGTCTTTTTGGCAGCAGTGGTGGCAGGCAGGAAGGCCAACTCAGCCTCAAGAGGGAGTGAAGCTGAGCAGCTCCTCCTCTGGCTGTGCACTGCTAGTTCAACCCCTGGGGCTCCATGGAACCCAGTGGCTCCCCGCCATACTCCTGTGGATGCCAGGAGACCAGCATTACTCCCTCAGTACTGGCAAAAGCACAGAGGAAATCTGGTGCCAGCCACCCCAAGTGCTACTTGGGCCCTTGATGACTCATTAAGCTCCTTGGCCAGACTGATAGTCCTTTTTTGCCTCTCTGGCCAAACGGCTCTGTAGTTTCTCAGCTTGACCAGAGTTTGGTTTTTCATCCATATTCAGATGATACACTAAACCACGGTAAGTTTGCTAAACCCAACAACCAGCCATGGTATTTGGGCTGGCTTATAAGCCACTGCAGAAGAGCTCATAAACTATCCTCTGGGGGGAACGCGGGGCAGGCAACATGCTAACCCTCCCCTCTGGTAGCCTGTCCTGTCCAGTGCACCCTGTTGGTGGCTGCATTGGCAAGTCATGCTACGCCACTCTGTGACAGAGCTATGCAGAAGAGTCTGTTCACTGTGGCTTGTTCTCCCATTTCTTCCCCTCAGTCCTTCACAGCCCATAGCCTAGTGTCTTATGCTGGAACTGGGTTTTTCTTTGCAGTGGTTTGACGTAGTCTTGTCTGGTCAGTTT